ACGCAAGGCTGAGTGTGGTTTGTTTGCAGGGCTGGCAATGGGGCCACTGGGATGTCCCAAGGAATCAGACACAGTGGCACTGCTGCTGCACTCCTGCAGAGCTCACAGAGGAATTTCTTGCAGAATTTTAAAAGGAGAAAAAAAAGGGAGAGATACTGCTGAATAGGTTTTAAGACAGCAGGAATGCAGATTCAGGAAAAGATTTGTGGGGAGAGAGGACTTCTTGCTTCCAGTCCCAAATTTCTGCAAATAACATTTGTCAGTGGAGTTGGCAGGAGTTTACACAGGGACAGCAAGGAGGTAAATTCCAGGAAATATTTGGAGAGTGCAGGGAGTTTTCTAGGAGAGCACTGGAAGATTGGAACACATATGGAAGCAAACACAGGCCAAGGTTGTGTCCTGGGAAGGGCAAAGAATTACAAGAAGCAAAGACATCCTGAACAAGTTTAAATAAAAAAAGCCAAAACGTGACTGTAGATTAAAAAAGTTGAATCCTGTATGTGAAGAACTTGCAAATATGTCACATTTTTGAGGATGGAAAAAGACCTACATTAAATCAGCCTCGAGTTAGACATGCAGGAAAGAAGATGATTTACATTAAAACAATAAACTCCACTAAACCAAACCAGACCGCAGTGACACTTCCAGGACTCTGTTGTACATCCAAGGCAGTCCCAGATTTATTGCATCATCAGAGGATACAACTGTTAACGATGCAGCAGAGTTCAAGCCCTGACTCCAGGGTTTATATAAATCAGCCTGGCAAATATAACAAGAAGTTTCCTCAGCTGCTCAAACCCTCCAAGAGGTTCTCTCTCCAGGCCACTGCTAATCCACAGCCTGGGTGAGGATTCCTGGGAAAGAACCTTTCCTTCAACCCAAATTCCAAGAACAGTTCAGGGAGTGTGGGAAAAGCCCTGTAGTCCAGCCAGCAGCTGATGCTGATGAAGGTCCCTCAGCTCAGCTCAGCTCAGGCCAGGAGGGAGCTGCTCTGGGTAGTGCTCATTAGCCAGTGCAGAGAGCAGGATCCTGCTTTGGGGAAGGGCTCACAGGAGCCAGCAGTCCCTGTGGGCTGATCTTGCAAGGCAGAGCTCACAAGGATGAAGCTCTGCTGTGTCCCCAGCCCCTGCCCTGCACGTGGCTCTCCCTCACCATGAGCTGACCCTGCTGTCCAACTGCAGTGGAGCCACGGGATGGATCCCAGTCCCCCCTGGGATTAGAACACTAAAGGAAGCCTGCAGCAGGGGGGAACCCTGGGACAGCCACGTTTATCTGGGGCACATGGAAGCCCCAACACGGGTTGCTGCCTTTGGGAGCTGCTGCTTGGCAGTGAGGATGTTATGGAGAGGAGAAGCTCCTCAGCTGCTGCAAAGCACAAATCCCCACTAATTCATGAAAGGCAGTTCTGAGGGTTTGCTGGGGAGGAGAGCAGATCCTTTAGGGATCCTTTAGGGAGGGGATGTGCAGCTCACAGTGCCCTGTTTTGTGTCCCCACAGCCACTAGGACAAGTGACTCCTCATGGCACTGCTGTGTCTTACAGGGCTGTTTTTCCTCTCTCCTTCACAGCCCTGGGCTGTAACTCCAGCAAATGGGCTGGTGGCAACAGCTGGAAATGACCCACAAAACATATTTTAACTTTTTACTGTCCACATATGCTTTGCTTCCTCTGCTCTGCCCTGTGATGCTCTGCAAGATTTGAACTTATCACTGTCCAACCCACTGAGAACTTCCAAGCTGCTCAGCATTCCCACTGAATGCCATCCACAGGCTTATCCTCAGCAGGAAATGGGAAGGGGAGAAGGGAAGGGCTGGGAGGTAGCTTGAAAGGTACAGGGGAAATGTGAAAATTGCAATAAGCTGCCTGAAAATCTCCATGTGATGATTTTTGTTACGTACCCACACATGCACACATGCACATGCACAACAGCATTTCACAGTGTCAATGTTAGCAAGTGCCTTTTCCCCTTTTCCCCTTGGAACACGCCGAGTTTTCCATCAGACCCCATTTGGTAGCAGCACATTGGAGACCCATGAAATAAATATGTCATTGTCACTCCAGTGCTCTGCCCTCACTCTGCAGCATGTGCCAGAGGCGTTTACAACCAAAGCACTTGACAGGAACTCGGTTCCTCGTGCTCCCAGGAGAGCTGAAGGATGCAGAAATCTGCAGTGTTTTCTGGACCATGCCTGTTATAGCCCAGCTCTCCATTAGTCCTACACAGCCAAACACAGATGTCACAGCTGTGTCTGGTACAGACAGATGGGAAGGTGTTACTTTTAGTACCACCGCCACCGTGTGATTTTTGGTCAGAAGAAGAGACAAGGATGTGCTTTCTCTGTCCTGCAGATGGCTGCCACAGCTCTGGGGCTGTGGCACTGGGACCTGTCCTTCACAGTGGGCTGGGTCTGGCAGGTAGATGTGTCTGAAGCAGCCAGCGAGGAGATTCAGTGCATTGAGACAAAATGTCTCCAAATGAAGAAGACCTGAAGCGCCCTTCCAAGGCCTGGGTGGCTCTGCAGGGATGCTGCCTGGGCATTGCTCCTCCTTAGTGTCTGCAGGAATGGAGGGGGTGGCAGAGAACAGTCAGGAATTGTCTGGGGAGGGCAAGTGAGGGGCATCATGTGCTCCTTCCACATGGCTGCCCCACAGGAATCTGCTGGTGAGTTTTGTAGGCAGAGCTGTCCTGGCAGAGCTCTGGGGCACGAGGTCACTCCTGGCTGTGGCTGGACATTGGCACAGCACCATCCTGCCCCCACCCTGCACTGCCATCAGAGAGCTTCACTTGCCTTTGGGGCACTGACAACTGCTCCTTGTCAAAGCACAGCAGCCACAGTGTGGGACAGACACCAGGGGAGGCTCCCACACCACACTGGGACTGGGCACACCTGGGAGCTCCTGGTTTCCCTGTGTGCCCTCTGCAAACACTTCCTGTGGTTTAGTCAACTCCAGTGATTTTTTATGTCCTTTCAAAGCTGAGCCCATCACCTGACCTGGAGCAAGTGCTTTTTGGATGCAAAGGCCCCTTTGGATACACAGGCTAAACCAGGCTGGATTTGGGGCAGAGCTGCCCATCCAGGTACCACCTGCACAGCCCATGCCCCTCTCTCCACACCACTCTGTGCCACCTGCCAGCCATGCAGGGAGATGCTGGGGCTGTCCCAGGGGATGCCCTGTGGGCACTGAGCTCAGGACAGCACCCTGGCACCCAGCACACACCTCCTGCCAGGTTCCCATCACTACAGGCAAGCCCAGAGCTGCAAACCCAGGGCTGGGCTGGATGCAAATATAAACACAACACTGCACTAGAGATTTGGATTAACAGGGGCTGGAGGGACAATTGAAAAGCCCCTGGGCTGGAGCACCTAACCCTGGGACAGGGCAAGAGCTCAGGAGAGAAGTCTCACTTGCAGGGACTGCTCTGATGCCACTCACAAGGGCTTTGTTGGATCTGGTCTGGCAGCAGAAAATGCTAGAAGTATTTAATAAAGGGCCTCGTATTTTACAAGCAGTCTGGGGAGATGATGTCTGGCCACAGAGGTCTAGACAGCTTGGGATTTTCATCCACAGCAGACACACTTCCTCTTGGATTCAGCTCCTGGAAAATACAGCCAGGCAGCTCCCAGTGAACGTGCCTTCAACACTCCTTGCTGCCAAAAACAAGAGGAGGAGCCCAGGAACGACATGGCAATGGCAGACGAGGGCTTGTAAACACCAGTCCTGAGGCCATGCCCAGGACATGGGTGGGAAAATGCCACGTGTGGAATGCTTCAAAGGATGCAAGGTGGTGCTGGGCACAGAGAACAACCCCATTCACAGAGAACAACCCCATCTGCACCTCCCTGCGCTCAGCTGGTGGCATTCACACATCCCAAAGACCTGGTCAGTAACTAAAGAATTTTTTTTCAGTTATTTACAAACCCATTGATTGATTCAGCTTCACCCACAGCATTTTGCCTCTGGAGAGCTGGGATTGGAGTTTTTGCTGTCCCAGGCTCTCTTTGACGTGAGGGGCTGAGCCTGAAGCTGCATCACCCAACGAAGAGACAGGGTCCCCAAGGCACAGAGCCCACCTGCACAGCCTGGCACCTGCAGGGACCCATCCCCACCTGGACATAACACAATCCCCTCTCCAAAATGCTGTGCCATGAGCTCCTCTGAGAGGGCTGGGCTTGCCCTGCCTTTCCCATGCACCAATCCAACACCTTCCTCAGCAGCCAGACACTTGCAAAGGGCTCTGAAGCCACCTGTGGAGTCATCATTCCCTCACAAAACCCCTCCACCCTCCCACATTTCCCTCCCAACCCCCTTGTGATGCTGCTCACCCCCGAGTTGAGCTGGTGGCCATTTCACTTTGGCAAACACCTGGAACCCCAACAGCCACAAACATCTGTCATGCCATGACCAATTGGAAAGAACAAATAAGCAAACGGGAGGAAATGTGCATATAAAAAACCTTTTTCTCCTGGCATATGGTCAATAAGCTGCAATTTTTCCTTCCACAGGGAAGGGATTTGAGTTCTTGGATGATATGATGCTTGGAGATGTCATTTCTTTTTCATTAAAAAAAACCAAACCCCCAACCAACCGTAAATTTCCAACCCCAAACTCACAAACTGATGTTAACAAAACAATGTAAAAGGACAAATCTCCCAACAATGACAACCGAAAAATAAAGGTACACGTCAGCATTTGTAATCAAAAACTACTACATACTGTACTTGGGAAGTCTTCTGGGAAAAGATCATTGGCATCTAGAAAGGATATCACTAAAGTCTTGAGCAATGATATGTATGAGACACGATGCCATTGGAGGGTGGATGGACGGACCCTTAGGAAACTGTCACTCACAAAACTGTTCCATGACAAGAGAAAATAAGAGATGTAAAAAGGATTGGTTTTCCCCATCCCCACCCCCCCAGGCGTTACAGATTCCTTCTCATTTGTCGGAAACAGCCTCCTCTAGTCTTAGTTTATTTGTTGTGGTTTTGTTTTTTTTTAAAAAAAAAAAAAAGTCTTCAGCTTTTGAAAGAGTCCATCAGTTTCTGAGATGCACTTGGTTTCACAGCACCAAAGAGCTTCAGCTCTCCCCCTCTGATCTGCTCACAGGGGCTCTGGGGAAGGGCCTGGCTCACAGCATTCCCAGAGCCCAGGGGAGGAAGAGATGTGCTTCTCGTGGCCTTTCCTTGCATTCCTCTTCCTGGAGAAGTCCCACTGCTCCAGAGGTGCCTGGGTCCAGCTGCAGCAGCCTTGTGCAAGAGGAAACACGAAGCTGCTCTTTTCTCTTCCTTTGGAGACTCCCATTGGTCTTGGAGCCCTTTTCAAGAATGCAATTGCTTTATTATTATTTAAAAATATTTTGTAGTTTGTTTTTTTCAAAATAGTTGTCTTTTTTTTTGTTCCCTTTTTCCATTGCTTAAATTCTAGAAGCTCTTGGCAACTTCTCATTGTTGAGGACGGGGTGTTCCCTCCTGCTGCCGTGATCCTCAGAGCAGCTGCCTGTCTCTGGTCCATGCAGAACACTCAGGAACTGGAGCTTGGACATACAGGGGCAAAGGGGGGCAGGGCCTTGAGGAGGAGGAGGACAGGCAGCTATCAAACCTCCACAGACTGGATTTGGTTCATCTGTGCTCTCATCACCTGGATACTGTTCAGAATTTTCTTCTGGTGTCCTGCTAAAGTGACCCCGACTCGCAGAATGTCCCTTTGGGAGGAAAGGAAACAAAAACAAATATCAGGAGGTATTTTCTCAAAGCAGAACAAGATCATAGACGGTATTTAAAATTATCTTTATGGTCCCTTTCAACCCAAACCATTCTGGAATTCTGTGATTCTATGATTCCCTGATTCTGTGAGTCCATGAGAATGGTATTTAGAGAGCTGAAGTATCCACAGATTTCTTTCATGAATGCAACAAACAGATGCCAACCTTGTGAAATCTCTACTCTTTCACTTTTTCCTGCTTATTGTCCAATCTTTGCACTTTCTACCTACCTGCAGCACCCTCAGAGTCCTGAACCTCAACATAGAGTGTGAAACAAAATGCCACAGGCTCTGCTCTCTGCTTGTGAGTCAATTTGTCTTAAAATTTTTACCCATGTACTGTTTTGGATTTTCTTTCATTTTGTGACACACTAACCCGTTTTTCCTACCCCTGGAGACACAGGACAGGGATGTGCTGCCCCTCTTCAGTGTAGATCTGACTCCCATGTGCAGATGATGCTGTTCTTGATGCTTTTCCTTTGAGCTGATAAGACCATGAAGTGATCAATTTTTGCACTTATCCTTTTGTTAAATCATGGTGATCTCATTTTTGGACAGCTTCTATTTTTTATAGATTTAGACATCTGAGAGAGATCAAAGTCATGCCGAGAGCAGGAGTGTGGCACTAAATTGGTCCTGTCTGTGTCTCCAGCTGAGTTTGCTCTCATCTCCCCCTTGGCAAATAAGCCTCAGTCATGAAATCTTCAGATCTTCCTCTTCCCATCAGGGGATGGGAGGCCACGTGACCCAAACCTGACTTGGAGGAATTTCAGGTGCCTTTTGTCCTTGAGTGTTAGGAACAGACGTTTAAGGGGAAGAGTAGCAAAATCTTTGCCATGTTTGGAGTGGAGGTTATTGGACAAAGAAGGGTAAAGGAGAGCTCCAAAGGGTGGAAAAAATTCTTCACTCATGTCTATAAACCAGAATAAGACTGTAGCTCTGCACAACCCCATGATTCCAAGCCTTCTGCCCTGGACATTAAATATTTGATTGGATATTGGGAGGGAATTCTTTGCTCAGAGGATGAACAAAGAATTCCCTCCCAATGGTGAGGATAGTGAGGATGGTGAGGATGGTGAGGGCCTGGCTCAGGCTGCCCAGAGAAGCTGTGACTGGCCCTTTCCTGGAAGTGTCCAAGGCCAGGCTGGATGGGGTTTGGAGCAAGCTGGGATACTGGAAAGTGTCTTAAAGCCCACGGCTTTAAGAGGAGCTTTAAGGTCCCTTCCAACTCAAATGGATCTCTTGAAAGATAATTGGATGTCCCAGGTGTCCCAGCCTGCAGACAAGCCAGTGAGAACCCTTTCCAGCAGGTCAGTGTTGAGACCATGTGGATTTGGGGAACTGAGTCAGTTTTCAGGAAACATTCACACTCTCCTGGCTCTCCAAATTTGGATGAACCAGCAGCTCCACTGACATTCCAATCAGCTTCTGCAAAGGCCAGTGAACATCAGGGAGTGGTGTCAAGTCCTGTTACACCACAATTTTCCAAGGAAAAAGGAGTTGGACTGTCCTTTCCATTGTACATTCAGCCAAGCAGGTGAGGAATGTGGAATGGAAGTCTGCCAAAACTAGTGGGACATGAGCTGAGGATGCCCTTGGAATTGTGGTGAAGGCTCTTGGAGAGGACTTGAGGGACATGGTAAGGGATTGGGAGAATTGGCATTTAAGGGACACCGAGGATGTCTGTGAAAGAACAGCCAGCATTAGCTGGATTGTCTGCATCCTGCCTGCTGTCAGATATTGCAAAGAGCAGAACTCAGGCAGGGGTGGGTTGTGGTCTGATACCTCTCTTTGATCTAAGTTCTTCCCTACCCTTCAGATTTTGTGGACTCTCTCTCTTTCTGTTGTATAAACCCAGCCAATACTGTGACAAAATCATCCCCAGGGCCTTGGGATTGCACCACAGATGTCCCCAAACAGTCAGAACTGCCATGGGAACTTCCCAGCAGCAAACAAGAACAAAAAGCCAGAGAAAGTCATAGTGGCTGTTTGAGAGAATGGATTCTGACTCACTGGTAAATTTAAGCATCTGGATTTAAGCACAAATCCAAAAACCTCCCTGGCCACCAGGCTCAGAGACATTGCAGCCCTTACAGATGGCTCTAATGCTTGGCCCTTTCTGAGGGCTTCTGGAGATACCTGCAGCCAGCCACAAATCTTTCAGTAGAGGCATCAAAGTCCCAGCCAGCCCCAAGGGATTTCAAAACCCTCCAGAAGTGGGATTTCAGCTGCCTGATTTCTCTGAAGAACTTGCTACGGATCAGGTGCTGATTGTCACTTGTCAATTGTCACTGCAGGATAATTTTTGTAGATGCAGGACATTTTTAGTGGATGCAGCACAAATTGAAACCACCCCCCACAAGGGGATCTTATCAAGGTGTGTGAGGAGATGTGGCAGAGGCTGCAGCCAGGCTCTGCTCCACGTGGCAGAGCAACAGGATGAGAGGCAATGGGAAGAAATGAATGCCCAGAAAGATCCACCAGAACATGAGGAAGAACTTCTTTACTGTGGGGGTGGAACAGACTTCCCAGAGAGGGTGTGAAATCTCTTTCCACAGAAGTAATCCTGAGTGAGGAGCTCTAGAAGCTGAGCAGGAAGGTTGGACTGGATGACCTCCAGTGGTCCCTTTCAACTGTAACCACGCTGTGATTCTGCCTTTCTAAGGCAGAACTTTGCACCATGCTTGTCTCCATCAATACATCAGCCATCCAAGAGGAGTGCAGAGTTCAGGAGTGCTCTGGAGAGTTGTGTGATGCCAGTCTGAAATCTCAGTTTGTCCCATGAAGGGGTTTGGACACCCTTGGTGGGGGTGTTCATTTTCACAGAGTGGTAGTGGGGAGAGGAATTCTGCAGGTGCAGAGTGACAGACACATGGTCTGGAGACTGAATAGATTAGAAGTGGCTCCACAAAGCAACAATTCTATAAAAATAAAACTACATCATATGAAAATAAAATCTAATTCAATACCAATTGTTGCAAAACTGCTGGGACTTTTCCTTGTGCTTTGGGACTCAAAGCCTGGGCACTTACTCTACAGTCATCTGAGATACTACATCAAAGGTGGTGAAACCAGCACTGGCAAAGCTCTCCTTGTACTGGCTCATCTTGATGGCATCCAGCCATTCATCCACAGTGTTGAAGCTGGTGTAATCCGGGATTGTGCGGTCAAGGAGGGGGAGGTTCATCCTGAAACACAGAAATGGGCAGTGACAGACCAAGAGCTGCAAGCACAACTGTTCCTGACCCTCCAGCAGCTGAGGCACAGCATCAGCATCACTCACAGTGCAGACACTGCCCTGTAGTGTGGAATTCCACCCAGAAATCACTGTTCTGCCAGGGAAGAATTGTGCAGAGCATCAGGGAAGCCCTTCTGGATCAGTTCCTGCAGGAGAGTCAGGAGCCATCAGAGATGATGGGATGCAGCTTTAAATCCTGGCTGCTCACAGGGAGAAAGCTCATTCTTGTACAGGGGCAGTGCTTCCCACAAACTGGTGCAACCCACCCAGCCCAGGGAAACTCCACATTGCCTCAGGGGCCTTATCTGCTCCCAGTGCAGTGGGACTGGAATACCAGAACAATCCCACCACCCCAGCATCCCCATGTACATGAAACCAAGGTGCTTCTCTATGTGCAGAATGCACTATCCAAGAGCTGCCTGTGCCCACCAGAGCAGCCCAAGAAGAGAGACCTTGACATCTGTATCCCTGTTCTGTGGATGTCCCAAGCCTGGAAGTGTCCAAGGCCAGCTTGGATGGGGCTTGCAGCAACCTGGGATAGTGGAAGCTGAGCCTGCCCATGGGAGGGGTTGAATGAGGTGGGCTTTAAGGTCTCTTCCACCCCGAATTGTTATTCTATGATCTTTTAATGCTCTCCCTATAAAGGATCAAACACAGGCCAAGCTCTAAAGAAGCTCCTGAGAGGTGCAGGGATGGTGCCACCAGGACCCAGAGGACACCAGACCTGTTCAGAGGAGCCAAAGGACAAGGGGAGGACAGAGACACATACCCAGAGGAGAGAGGTGCCATGGCTTTCAGGCTGTTTGGATTTCGGATCATTTTATCCAAGGTGTTGACAATTTGCCCAAATTTGGGCCTATGGTTCCGATCCTTCTGCCAGCAGTCAAGCATCAGCTGGTGAAGGGCATTTGGGCAGTCCATGGGTGGTGGCAGCCGATAGTCCTGCTCAATGGCATTTATCACCTGCAGGAAGAGAAAGAGGCATCAGTACAGCTGTGATAAAACCTATTTAATTCATAATGTGCCTTTTCTTGGATCCTGAGGGTGACTGACATGACTGATCCTGCAGCCTGTACTCACTGCTGCCTTCCCATCTCGTGCCCACCTCACACTGTAACTTCCACCCCTCAGCAGGTCAGGCGAGGTGTGAGGTGTCCTAGGAGGTGCCACCAGCTTTGGTCAGTACTCCAGCCTGGGTGGCTGATTGTCAGGAGCAGTGTCCTGATCTGGGGAAAGGAGCACCCCTGTTGCCCTGACAGGATGTGTGATCCCACAGCTGCAGGCAGGGGAGTCAGAGATGGCATCATGCTTTCCTTGGACACAGCACAACAGCTTGCTGGGAAAACATCTCCATCCAAAGAAGGGGGGTGAGTTACAGACAGGGAGCCTGTTCCTGTGTTTTCCATCCCCCAGTGGTGTTTTGTGCTCCTGACACAAACCAGCTCGTCCAGGTGACAGGGTTGTGCCTTGGCGTGGGTGGCTCAGTCAGCAGAAACAGATGGATCTTTCTGCAGGCCTGTGCAAGTGCAAAACAGCATGGGGAGGACTCAGACCCCAGTCAGCAGAGCCAGGCCCAGGAGAACTCGGTTGCAGTGTGCGCAGAAGAGCTGCAGCACACCTTGACAAAGCTACATTGCACCTCCAGGCTCATCCAAAAAGGCTTTGGTCAATCAGGCCACCTCCCTGCCACTCTGCACCTGCAGCCCTCAATCCTCTCCTGGGTGACAAACGAGGATGAAGCTGCTCCACTTCTTCCAGGAACATCTGTTCCTCTGACAGGGGCCTGTATAGGCAGGATTCTCCTGCTCCTTGGCCACACACAGCACAGGCACTGAAGGATGAGCAGAAGGAGCCTTGAACACCAGAGATGGGCTCGTGCATGGCAACAAAACCCAGAAGGACGGACAAAAACCAGAACTCAGGATACTGCAGAAATCAGGAGCAGATCTCAAAATGACAAAGTCTCCATGGGAATGATGGACAAGGGAAGGAAGAGTGCCAGAACCTCCCTCAGGAATCCTGAGGAAGAACCTCCATGTCTCTGGCTATTCTCACCATGGGAACAAGGCTGCCATGGCTTTGTCCAGCCATGTCTTGCACAATTCCAAAGAGAGATATTCCTGGTGGGATTCCCTAGGGCTGTGCCCCCATCCTGGTGAAGTCTAGACATACTCGTGGTGGTGGACATATTGTTGAGTAGGGACACTACACAGAGAAAATTAAGGATACTGGGAATGGGAACGGGAGAGAAGCAGGGAAGAGCTGGTGGCTGATCCATGCCAAACAATCCAGTGTGTGAGATGGGCATCTGGCAGGGCTTGAGATGGTCTGTGGCTCCAGGCAGAGAATGGACTGGGAGGTGCTGCAGGCACTGTTGTGTATGACCAAGGTGCTGGACAGGCTGACCTGAGACACGGGGCTGGCACTGCAGCTGCCAAAATTTGCCAGATGGAAGAGACCTCCCCCAGTTCTGCTGCCCTGGCTGGACATAGTGGTGGCCCCATGGGGCCTGTGAAGGTCTGACCAAAGGTAACTCCTCTACAAATCCCTGACAGGAGGGTGGAGCTGGGGAGTGCTGGTCTCTTCTCCCAGGTAACAAGTGGCAGGACTAGAGTAAATGGCCTCAAGTTGTACCAGGGAAAGTTTGGATTCAACAGGAGGGAAAGGGCTGTCAAGCATTGAAACAGGCTGTGCAGGGAAATCATAGGGAGTCACCATCCCTGGAAGGCTTCAAAAGGTGTATGGATGTAGCACTTGGGCATGTGTTTAGGGTGAATATGGCACCCAATGATGGCATCTAATTGATGGTTGGACCCAATGATCTCAGAGCCTTTTCCAGCCTCAAGGATTTCATGGCTACTGATGTGTTTGGTGCAGCTCAGGGAACCTCCCAAGGGGTGCTGAGCCCCAGCCCAGCTCCCTGGGTTCAGGTCTGCCCCGACCAGTGGCAGGGGAGGCACAGGGTGGGCACCAGTACCACACAAACACCAAGCACTCCTCTCTGTTCCCAGCGAGTCCTGCTGCCATCAGCCTCATCCCAGAGGCAGCCCAACCTCTCTCCAAGTCAGCCACATCCAGAGGCAGCCCCAGCTCTCTCCAAGTCAGCCACATCCAGAGGCAGCCCCAGCTCTCTCCATGTCCTTCCCAGCCGCCGCCCCAGGCGCTCACACTCGAGGGTCAGGAGGGTAATCTGCCCTCAATATCCGCCACGCTCCTCCACAGCAGGACCAGCTGTGCTTAAGTGGTGACAGCTTCTGGAGCACCGTGTCCTGCGGCACGGAAAGGGAGCAGGGGCTGGGGACAGTGACGCGCAGCGGGAGGTGCCAGGGACAGGCACAGCTCTGCCATCCCCAGGGCAGTGAGCAGTGCCAGGGACAGGCACAGCTCTGCCATCCCTGGGGCAGCAGGAGGTGCCAGGGACAGGCACAGCTCTGCCATCATTGGCACAGTGGGAGGTGCCAGGGACAGGCACAGCTCTGCCATCATTGGCACAGTGGGAGGTGCCAGGGACAGGCACAGCTCTGCCATCCCTGGGGCAGCAGGAGGTGCCAGGGACAGGCACAGCTCTGCCATCCCCGGGGCAGCAAGCAGTGCCAGGGATAGGCACAGCTCTGCCATCCCTGGCACAGTGAGCAGTGCTGCCACAGCAGTGCAGCTGTGGCAGGAGAAACCTCTGAGGGAAGAGCTCCCAGAGAAGGACAAGGGACAGGGAAGGTACAGAACATCTGGTGCAGGACATGCTTGAAACTCAGGTGACAGCAATGGCTTAGCAGGAAGGGAATTGTCCTTGCTGAGAAAGGCAGACCCCTAAGTCCCACCCCTCTGCCTCCAAGAACTGATGGAAACATTTTCGTGGTGTAGCAGAGGCTGTGAACAGCCAAAAGTTCTAAAGCATCATCCCCCTGCTCCAGGCTTAGGAATTCCTATTAATAAATTTCCCACCAGGCATTAGGGAGGAACTATCCCCACTCTGGAGAAACCTGATGTGGCACAGATGGAGATCTATTGAGATGGAAAGGTCTGATCTGCCATAGGGACAGGAGGAGGGACAGGAGGGGCAGGGAGCTTGGCTCTCGCTCTCTCCCTGTAAGACAAAGCCTTAGGAGCCCACAGCATGGTGGAGATTTAGTGCATGTCTGAAGGCTTCCAAGGGACTCCCCAGAGCTGCTCTGAGACTCACTGGAAGCCAGGCAGATACTGCAAGAGCCAGGACAAGCTTTCTGCATCCCCTAGGTCCACCCAGGACCTTGGTGTTACATCCTGAGTATTCATGATGTGAGGAAGGGCAGCTGTTCTGAGAGACAGACACAGGCCACAAAGTGGCCTTCTGACACACACATGCAGGTGCAGCATCCTCACAGCACTCACTGCCACTGGCCAGATGGGCTTTGAGCCCCAGGTACCACACCAAGAGGACCAGGGAGCATGGAAATGGCATTGCTGTGCTGAGGGCAGGGACTGCAGCCAGGGGCCATCCTTGCAGGAAACATCCCTGGAGCAAGGAGTGCATGTAACTGTTTGACCTGAATTTAGAGCAGAGGAATGAAATATTTAAAGTTGAGCATGTTATGAAGTATCTCATGGTTTTGGTTTCTAGCTGTGTCTAAGTTACTTGTGGTTCTTACAGACCACAGTTCAAGCTTCCCATGGGGGATTTAATGACCATCTAGCAGATGTCCTTGACCATGGCTGGGAGTTGGAAGGAGATGATCTTTAAAGGTCTCTTCCAACCCAAGCCATTGTGTGGCTTTGTAACAGACTTTCCTGGAGTGTCTGTGCTCCCAGCAGATGAAGCTCTGCTCCAGAGGCTCTCAGCTCAGGGACATCTCCTTTTTCACCCACCTGCTCCTTCCCTTCCTTGGCACCTGCCAATACCCCTGGGGTGCTCCCCTTAACCCTGTGCAGTGGGTGCTGTGCCATCCTCAATCTCTGCCACAGCAGCACCACGGGGACAGAATAAATCCCCAAATTATTCCCATTACTGCTTCTAAAGGTGTTGACCTTGGACACATCTGCCACAACAGAGAAGGCTCTGGACATGCCATGGGCTGGGACAGGCTGTGGACACTCTTTGGCCTCGCAATGCTCCCCACTGCAGTGTTTCCCTTGTTTCCCAAGAACTCACATCCTGGTTGGTCATGTCCCAGTAGGGCCGCTCTCCATAGGACATCACCTCCCACATGACAATTCCATAGCTCCACACGTCACTGGCTGAGGTGAACTTTCGGTACTGAATGGCCTCAGGTGCCGTCCATCGGATCGGGATCTTCCCACCCTGCAGGACAAAACCAGGATGGTAACAGAGAGAGCAGGAACAACTGAAAAATAGCAGTGTCCACAACATTTGCCTGTGACATTCTAGTAAAATCCCAGAAGGAAGGAAGCACAGGACTGTCTGTCCCTCAGGGTGGATGTGGATTGTCCAGCCACACTGGAAGCCTTCAATGATGATGATGATGATTCTCCCCATTTGGTGACCTGTCCCAACACCCTCCTGAGCAAGGAGCTTTTCCTGTTGCTCACCTTGAACCTCCCTAGCCATGTATTTGTCTATGACCTAGCTGATTTATTGTATCATCTGGTGCCACTGCAAAGAGTTTGGCTCTGTCTCTTCATTACTGCCCTGAAGGTCACTCAGAGGTGTCCCCTCAGTCTCCTTGTCACCATCTTAACCAAGGCCAACTCCTTCCCCTGCCTCCTGCTCCTGCATGGCAAAATGCCCATGTGCTAAGAGGGTCTTTGGTAGAAAGTGAATGGCCAGGAATGTAAAAAAACCAAACTGATCTCCCTCTATCCTTTTGCCGTCACCTGGCTACCTGCAGAGCAGAATAAAGGGAATTAGAACACCTTCCTCTTCAGCCATCTACAGCTTCCACTCTTTGAAGTCAGCAAGAGACCATTTCTGGCCTGAGTCCTGGTGTCCCAGTCTGTCTGTGGATCTACACCTGATCCAGCAGGTTCTGATCCTTCAGTATGGGATGAAGGGGTCACTGGTGGGAAATGGGATAAGACTGGGTGCGCACTGTCATCCAGCTCTGGAGCAATCAGGATTCTCCACTCCCACGGAGGAGTTAAGCACAGGAATAGCACACACAAATGGGGACACAGGGACTGAAGGCTCTGCTTAAGCCCTTCCTGCCTCCTGATTTTCTACCAGGGGCTTTGGACTTGAGCCATTCACTCAAGGGACCTTCTGAAGGGAAAATCTCCCCCTGTGCTGAAAAAATAAGCAGAAGTGTTTGTGTTTTGTGGCTGAGAGAAGATTTAAAAACATTATATTTTGTCAATGAACAACTGCCATGTCTTATTAAGGGTCTCTCAGGACTTCATAGGACTCAGCCCCAGTACATGCCAGAATAATGAAAAAAGATAATGTTTCTTAATCTTTTCACAGCCACAAACCTCAGACAAAATATTATTTTCTACAAAAGGGGAAGACAAAGGAATCCATACCAAACAGGATGTCCTCTCCATCAGGCAAACTCCTGACAGAACTCCTGGCAAGCAGTGGATTTTAAAAAGAAGTCCTAAAGCAGAAATTCAACTTTGGAAGATTCTTGTGGGAACTCACTTCAGTGAGACCTCCCATCTCTGTGGGGTCTGATCTGGAGCTTCACCACTCCAAAGACTTTCCTAAGGTCCAGCATGAACCTCCCAGGCCAGAACTTGTGGCTTCTGCTCACCTATGGACACAAGGTCACTGGGAGAATGATGATAAAAACCATTTTGCAGAGGAAGATACTTCTGATACAGTAGGTGCACATAATCTGTCATTATGGATAATAAATATCCTGCCCCAGTGCCCACAGTTCAAGGAGAATAAATGAGGGATGACAAATTTATTATTAGAGAGAAAAGCTACAGGCATAAAAAACAGGGATAGAGAACAGCAGTAAACACCATGTATTTAGTTAACAAAGGGAAATTTAATTGGCTGTAAGGGATATGAAAAATAAATGTTATTAGTGTTTGTAAAAACCATTGATGGCTGTGTGAGATGGATGAGTTGATGTCTGAAGCTACATGGATGAGAATAAACCCACACATTTTTAGGTGTTTGTTAGGTATTTAGCTACTGATAAAATTTACTAAGAGCTATGCCAGACATCTCATCACTGCCAGCTTCAAAAGACCCAGGAGAGGTGATTTCCTACAGGTCATGCCCCAGCTCTATCAGCATTGATTTCCAAGGATTCCTGACATGGGCATTGATCCTGATGCACTGTGCAGAGCATTTCTGTGTGGTATTTATGAGAACTCCTGGCTGAGCTCTCACTGAGCAAAACCAAATAATCCTCTGGTCCTGGGGCACCTTCTGCAGCCTGACATGAGCCACAAGTTCTTGGTGGCACTTGCATCTATGGCACCAAGGTATTCCTGGGAAGTTGTTACATGAACATGAAGTCATTTTTAGGAGTGTTTTTCTGTTTAAATTGGATACTCCCTGGAAGATCAGTATCTAGTACTTGGCACCCACCCACACTTCCTACACTTTCAGTCTATCCTTCCTGGGGCTGAGCCAGTGAGATGACATGAGGAAGGACAGCAGGGCAGCATGACTGGACAGTGATGGTAAGAGACCCAGACTTGCTGCCCTGGCAACAAATCTGTCAGGGCAGGTCACATCTCAAAGGATCCCAGGTGAATCATACGGGGAGGTGCAGAGCATGATCCCAACCAAGGGCTCTTCAGGGACATGTGTGTGTTTGCAGACATGTTTGGAGGAAGGCTCAACTATCCACAGGAATGACAGGACCTTGCAAGGGAAAATCTTCTTCAGTTTATTTCATTGTTCTTTCTCATCTGGAACCTTTCCACTGCTGACACCCTGAAAAGGTGCTCCCTGCTGTCAAGGGGGAGGTCCCTCCTTCCCTCTCCCACTCCTTGCTCCACCCCTGCCCCTCCCTGGCTGAAGAGCAGCATTACCAGAGCACTGGTGTAGGTGGGGTCGGAGGTGTCGTCCTCCAGGAAGCGGGAGAGGCCGAAGTCAGACACCTTGCACACCAGGTTGCTGTTGACCAGGATGTTGCGGGCAGCCAGGTCCCGGTGCACGTAGTTCATGTCCGCCAGGTACTTCATGCCCGCGGCGATGCCCCGCAGCATCCCCACCAGCTGGATCACCGTGAACTGCCCATCGTTTTGCTGAGGGACACACGGACACGGGTCACAGGAGCAGATTCACAGCCCAGGCAAAAGCCAGGAGCCTCTTTCCACACCCATGGCAGGATATGCCATGAGTACATTCCCTCTGAGGGAGGGTGGGGAGTGCAGAGCTCACAGGGGTTGGGAGTCACCTCACACATCCCAAGGGCACCACTATGGCAGCTGCTGTCACTTCAAAATGCACCCACCCTGCACAGCAGAGCTCAGAAGGGACAATCTATTCCCATTGACCAGGTTACTTCCCTTCAACAGAGTCAATGACCCACTTCAAACCCAGAACTAGAAATATTTAGACAGAGCAGCTGGAGGTGGGGTCCTGGTGGGTTAAAGCTGTGTTAGACTGTCCCTCCATGGGTGTCCATGGGTCAGTCTGGACATGCACCTGTGGGCAGGCAGGCACAGCCTCTTGCTAGGATGAGTGGACAGACACATAAGAAATGACAGCCCTGGTGCTGCCAGCCCCAGCTCTGTTCCCAAAACATAGACCTCTGCACAATGCAGCAGCTGCCCCAGTGACAGGGAACGCCAGGCTGGAAGGCCACTGGAAAGGGAACCTTCCCCCCAAATCCCCTCTGTGCTAGCACAGCCTCTAAGGCTGCACACTCCCAGATCTCATACCCGCAGGAAGGAGTCCAGTGAGCCATTCTCCATGAACTCAGTGATGATCATGACTGGAGAGCTCTTGGTGACCACCCCCTCCAGGTGGATGACGTTGGGGTGGTCGAACTGCCCCATGATGCTGGCCTCACTCAGGAAGTCCCGTCTCTGCTTCTCCGTGTAGCCAGACTTGAGGGTCTTGATGGCCACAAAGATCTCCCTTTTGCCTGGAAGCTTGAGATGCCCACTGCACACCTCACCAAACTCCCCTGTGAACATAAGTAGGGCCTATGAGCCTTCCCTACCCCTGCTGTGCGCCCTGAGGGATCCCTAGCCCCAGCTGTGCCCACCCTGCCTGTCCCTGAGCTGAGCACCCACCCCCTGTCCCTGAGCTGAGCACCCACCCCAGACCCTGAGCTGAGCACCCCCCCCAGACCCTGAGCTGAGCACCCACCCCATCCCTGAGCCAAGCACCCACCCCAGACCCTGAGCTGAGCACCCACCCCCTGTCCCTGAGCTGAGCACCCACCCCAGACCCTGAGCTGAGCACCCACCCCCTGTCCCTGAGCTGAGCACCCACCCCAGACCCTGAGCTGAGCACCCACCCCCTGTCCCTGAGCTGAGCACCCACCCCCTGTCCCTGAGCTGAGCACCCACCCCAGACCCTGAGCTGAGCACCCACCCCCTGTCCCTGAGCTGAGCACCCACCCCAGACCCTGAGCTGAGCACCCACCCCCTGTCCCTGAGCTGAGCACCCACCTCCTGTCCCTGAGCTGAGCACCCACCCCCTGTCCCTGAGCTGAGCACCCACCCCCAGACCCTGAGCTGAGCACCCACCCCCTGTCCCTGAGCTGAGCACCCACCCCAGACCCTGAGCTGAGCACCCACCTCCTGTCTGAGCTGAGCACCCACCCCAGACCCTGGGCTGAGCACCCACCTCCTGACCTGCATTCCCTCCTTCTCCACCCCTCCAGCTGCACTCATCTGTGAGGAGCACTGCCCTTGGATCATATGCACATGGGAACTGATGGTTTTGATTCTCCTGCACTGGACTCCCCTACTCCTTTAGTGCAGCCTGGGGCTAAGTAAGGTCTTAGTGGCATCAGTCCTAGTGGCATCAAGCTAAACCCTCCCAAATGCTGGCACTGTGAAGGAGCCTGTGCTGCTGAGGGCCAGCCAGCCATTCCCAGGTCACCTACCTGCCCCAATCACCTGCTCGATTTTGACACAAGAGATATCAATTTCTTTTGCAAATTCTCTGACAGCCTCATTGGGATCTTCGTAGGTGAAAGGATCGATATAAATCTTCATCCCTGGAGTCACTGCAGAAAGGTGAGGGAGAGAGTCAGAGAGATGGATGCAACTGGAATGGTTGGCATCAAGGAAAAGAGAAAACAGTTTGAGTGATGGTCTTTTACCTCGGCAAGTTGCATAAACAAGGCACGAAGCAGACAGAGAGAAACAGTTTGAGAAAGAACATGCAGAGCCAAGCTCCACAAGACTGTTAAAACAGATTTTCACGAACACTGGCCCACAGGTCATTGTTGGGGCAGTAAGGAGCTACATCATGAGCTTGGACTACAAACTGCAGACTCCTCCATGGGGGATCTGTGACCCTTCCAGGAGCTGTGCAAGCAGGAGGGACAGACCAGTCTGCTCTGTTCTCCTGACTGGCATCCCTGCCCAAGGCTGGGTTCCCTCTTGGGAGCCAAGAGAAGTAGTGGGACATACAAGGAAAATCACAAAAGACAGTTTCCTCTTGCTAGGCCCAGCAGGGGACACAGTGACACATCATGGGAAAGGCAAGGGCCAAGGGATCTGGTGATGCTGGACTGCTGCTGCCACATCCCAGCCACCTGCACTGTGGGACAGCCCTCACCTGTGCTTCTCCCCTTTCTGTACTCATTTTCTGGCCCCTGGCTCACTCCAAAATGGGCTATTTGGAGAGCAGAGCTCACAGCTCCCTAAATAAGGAGTCCCACAGAGCACCAGACTGATTCCCAGCTCCAGGATGCTGGTTGCGTTCAGGGGTTCTGCAGGGCTCACAGGCAATTTGCTGCAGTGTCTGCACAGCAATCACTGCTGGGGATGGAGCAGGGACTGAGCCCTGGCCAGGTGTGTTGGGTGAGGAAGGGTCTAAAGGGCAGCCAGGCTCTATCAGCTCTGCTGCATTCCGTGGCACCAGGCCTGTTCTGAGTGGTGCAGGCACAATGATTAAACCCATCCCAGCCTGGAGCTGTCACATCCCACACCAGGCCCCGGGAGAACGTGTGAATGTGTGTTTGCAGCCCAGACTGACAAACAACTGAGAGCTGAATTTACATAATGTCTCCTGAAAAGTGTCATTTTTCCTGGTAAGTGATAGCGAGGCAGCCAGCACAGGCTGCTGGGGCACAGGGCTGCAGCTCTGCCTTTTGGGACATGTTTCCCAGGTAAAAGCAGGAGCAACAGAGAGTCCTGAGTGGAAACACTACTGTGTTTTCCATGCTCTGAGCAAGGCCTGGATTTGTACAGGAACAAGGTATTAAAAGGGTAGAAATCCTGAAGCTGCAAGTAGAACATGAGGAAAATCACAACTGAGATTGGAATAAAGCAAGATTAGAACAGGTCTCCAGTGAGGGGGGAGAAAGGAATTTAAGGGATATGAAGGCAGGGGTTAATCATAGAATCATGGAATGGTTTGGGTTGAAAGGAATCTTAAATAACCTTATCTCATTCCACCCCTTGCCATGGGCAGGGACACCTGCCATTATCCCAGGTTGCTCCAAGCCCTGTCTGACCTAGCCCTGGACACTTCCAGGGATGGGGGAAGAAGGATGCGCTGGGGTGAGGCAGGGTGTGCAGTGAGGCTGAGCAGGAATGCTGGATGTGAGGGAGTGCCTTGCACAGGGATGTTGGAAGAAGGAGGCTACAAGAGAGGGCATGTTAGTTATTGTATTATATACCTATACATAGATATATCTCATATCTGCTGGCAATCTGGGAGCACTGGAATGGGCTCTGGCAAAGGTCTGTGGGTTCCTGCAGGGGGACAGCACTCTGCAGGACTGGGACAGGTCAGGGAAGGGGATGCCCAGGAGATGGGCAAAGCGCAGGAGCTGGAGGAGCAAGACGTGCTGTGGTGGCAGATGCTGCAGCACAGAAGACAGTGATGTTTCAGGGGGTGTTGGTTGTCACAGAGGTCTGGAGGACACGCTCAGGCACCTGACAGCATGCAGGGCTGAGAGCCGGGCAGGGATCAGGGGCAGGGGGGATCTGGAGCTGCCCTGCCCACACACACGCCCACCCTGCCCGGAGCCCTCCCCCAAGGCCCGAGTGAACAGGAGCACGAACCGAGCAGCGAGCGGCCCCCCAGGGCCGGGGCGGGCCCCCGGTACGTACTGTGGCCACTGGTGTAGTGCTGCAGCTTGTCCGTGTACTCCGAGTCAGCCCGCTCGAAGCCCCGTCTTCTGGAAGGGAAGGGAGACCTGAGCACAGCATGGGCCCCTCGGGGCTGGGGCTGCGCTGTGGGGACACCTCTGTCCCCTCCCTGCCATTCCCTGTCCCCAGTGCCCTGCCCTGGTGTCTCAGCCTGCCCTACCTGTTGCACACGATGCCGATGACCACCACGGCGATGAGGAACACCAGCCCCGCTGCCGAGGAGCCGATGATGAGCGGCAGCTTCTCCTGCACGCTGGTCTGGTACTCGGCTGGCACAGGGGAAAAGGGAAGAGGTTACTGTGGCACGGGATGTGCCATCCCTCACAAGGTCATTGAGGCCACAGCCCTGAGCATGGCCCATGTTTGATTCCTGGCATGGCTTTGGTCTTGGACAGTCGGGACTCCCCTCTGGCTGGGGGATGTGTCCCAGAAGGAAGGGTGGATGGAGCTATTCCTTTTGGGAGGAAGGTTTAGTCCTGTGGATGTGTACTGTGCCTTGTCCTTGGCCCCAGGACCAGAAAACTGGCTTGGTCTGTTTTATTTAGCAGCACAAATTTAGAAAAGTAAGACATGGCTCTGCGTTTGTCATCAGCAGCAGTGCAGGTAGAAAACATAAATTTTGCTTCCTCTACATCCAGCTGAGCAGACACATCCCCACAACATAAAGGCTGGGCAGAAACTGGGGCCTTCCCTGCATGGAACAAGCACCAGGCCTCTCTCCAGGCCTTGAATGTGATTTCTCAACACACCCTTGAAGGGACTGACAGCAAGGGGACCAGCTGCTAGTCTATCTCCACATCTCTCTAGACCCTGAGTCCCCTTCACAGAGCAGCTGCAGACTCACCTTCAGTCATGGTCTGGAAATACATCTTCCCACTGTAGCGGCCGTAGCCGGCCACGGTGCGCGCCCGCACCTGGAACACGTAGATGGTGCCAGCCTTGAGGTTCTGCACTGCCACAGTGTTGGTGGGGCTCTTCACTGTGGTCGAGTTCAACTCACTCAGATCCTGCCAAGGAAAAACAAATCCATCATCAGAAAAACCAGTCCAGAATCAGGCATTGTGCTTCTGGAAGGAGGAAGGGCAGGAGACCAGGGTGGAGAGACCACCAAGGTCTGAACAAAAAGGTCCTTCCTCCTGGCAGGGAGACACAGACTCAGGGATGTGAGTATGGATATCCCTGGGCTATTCACCACCTCTCAGGAAAGGCTCTAGAGAAGACAGTAGCTACAAAACTCACGTTGCTTCTCTAAGCCTTGAGGTCAATGGAGATGGGAAGATGGGAACTTCTTCCCTCTTCTGTGCTTTTCCCTTAGCACTTTCCTCCTCCCCCTACCCCTCCTGCTGTGCCTTAGCCAGCCTCAGCACAGTCCATCTGCTCTTCCCCAACTCCCATCTCCCTTTGCCAGGAGGTAAAGCCCACCTGAACACTGGGTTTTGGACCTCAGGAGAAGTTCTGCTTGCACCCCACTGCCCAGAGCCTGCTTCTCCAGGGGCCACAGCCAAGTTTCCAAGGCTGGGGACCCCAAGAGCACATTTCAAAGTGATAATGAGACTATATCCAAACTTTTGTTCTGCCCCTTGTCTCCAGTTTTCTAGCTGAGGACTGGAGCAGTCACATAGTGGTGCAGGTGATGGCTCCATCGAAGACCTTAGGAATTGTGCCCTTCATCCAGAAGCACTGGTGGATGGACAGGATTTCCTCATACAAGAGAACAGGTAGTCCCTGTCTGCCAGGGACATGGAGTCAACAGAGGATAATGACAGAGGGTCCTGAATATGGCCAGAGAAAGTGGCTGGGAGCCTGGCTGCCATGAAGTCCCAAAAGTCAGAGCAAAACAGCAATGCCAACAGCACAACGCTTCTGGAAAACAAAGAGCTCTTAGGAAAGCCCAGCTGTGAGCAAGCACCCAAGAAAAGGAGGTGCAGGCACAAATTTTGGAATCCAGTGGCTGTAGTGACACTGAAGGTGCTCATCCTTCCTGGCTGCACCTCCCGTCTAGCAGGTCAGGCTGCCCTGGCAGATCACCAGATGCAACAGAGGAGCAGCAGCTCAAAATCTGAGCTGGCAAGTTCCCAGTGAGTCCCTGACTTCAAGTCACAGCACAGGACACCCCTGCACCCTCAGTGAGGAGGGGTCACCTTGCGAGACTCTGGCAGGGACTGGCAGAAAGTGAGACATGAGGTTTGGGGAATCCCTAAGTGTGACTGAGGGTGTGACCAAGGGACTGATCTCTGCCCCAGCTCTGAAATGACATGGAGATGGAGATGGAGGCATGGAGACATTTCTGCTTTTCCCATGGGAACAAGAGGTCAGTGTGAAACTCCCAGAAAAGAGAAAGCACCTCCTCACTAACTTCTGCAGTGGAGTGCTGATGGACAGAGGGTAATGAAGGGGCAATCAGGCAGAAGGAAGATCCCACAGAATCACAGAATCATTAAGATCAGAAAAGTCCTTCAAAATCAAGTCCAACCTTTGACTGATGCCCACCTGTCACCAGCCCAGAGCACTGAGTGCCATGTCCAGTATTTCCTGAACACCTCTGGGATGGTGGCTCCACAACCTCCTTGGGCAGCCCCTTCTAATGTCTGAGCACCCTTCCCATGAAGAAAGAAATTCTTCCTGCTGTCCAACCTGAACCTCCCCTGGCACAGCTTGAGACTATGTCCTCTTGTCCTGCTGCTTTTTCCCCAGAGGAAGAGACTGACACTCACCTGGCTACCTGGCTGTACCTTCCTGTCAGGGATCTTGTGGTCATAGAATCATGCAACAGCTTCAGATGGAAGGGGACCTTAAAGCTCATCCAGTTCTACCCCTGCCACAGGCAGGGACACCTTCCACTAGGCAAAGTGTCCAACCTGGCCTTGATGCTTCCAGGGATGAGGCAGCCACAGCTTCTCTGGGCAGCCTGTGCCAGGGCCTCCCCACACCATCCAACCTGGCCTTGAATGGAGTGAATTTCGTGTCTCAAGCTGTTGAGTTGAGCAGTGCTCTGGTGTGGTTGATGGTAAGACAGGGGCCTGTCAGGAATGTGTTCCCTCAAGTGTGTGGCCAAACCCAAGGAGTGGAGATGCTGATGGCAAATCCCTCTGCAGGGAGTGCAGGGGAGCTCTGTGTTACATGTAGGGGCATGGAGGAATATGAGAAGGAGGAATCGCTTTAGACTGAAGGAGAGCAGGGCTAGATGAGATATTGGGGAGAAATTTCTCTCTGTGATGAGGCCCTGGCACAGGGTGCCCAGAGCAGCTGTGGCTGCCCCTGGATTCCTGTCAGTGTCCAAGGCCAGGCTGGACGGGGTTTGGAGCAGCCTGGGCCATGGCAGGGGTGGAATGAGATGGGCTTTGAGTCCCTTCCAGCCCAACCATCCTAAGATTCTGTGAAACACCTGGGAGATCTCAACTATTAACCCTGTTCAGGAACACTTTTCCCTTCTAAAAACTACAATATCTGTTTTATGCATCTGGACTTGGTGCTGAAGGTTCTTGATGGTCACTGGGGTCTCTGGTAATTAGACTGATGACAGTGAAAAGCTCAAGTACAGATACACACACCCCAAGGAAAGATGAGCACACAGAAAACCCATGGCCTCGTTTGTCTGATCAGGCTCAGCACTCCCTTGGACCTTTCCCAGGCAGGCGAGGAGAGAAATAGGTCAGGAAATGTTTACAGTTTTAGAACTCAAGGGCTTGGCTGAATCCTCCCAGGCCCTTGGAGGGCACTAACAACACAGTTGTTTAAAAATCATTTGTCCAACTCTTTTGGAGAACTTCATCCCTGCTCCTGGAGGACTTTAAATGGAATGTAATGGCCAAGCCTACAAGGTGGTTGATAGCCTGGGAAATTGATGTCTGCCTGGCTGAGGAAGGTGTGCTTGTGATGTGCTCTCCTCTAAACCCAGACCACAAGGAAAAACCATTTACACCTCTCCACCCTCCCTTATCAAACTTGTTCTTCCTCTTTGGCATCACCTCTCCAGAACCTGCACATTCACCTCAAACACTTCTCCCCTTTCACCTCTCTGGGCTCCTCCAGCCAAGTGCATCCCAGGTGATTTAAAGCCCAAGTCCAAGCAGAGGTTTGTGGTGTTTGGGAGTTTTTTCCCTGCTGATTTTCTTTTGAGTTTGGAGATCCTAATTCAAAATAACACACTGGTTTGATTTTGAGTCCTCATCTGATTCTCCCTCCCATGAGTCAAGCTGAAGCTGAAAACAAAGTCTGATCAACAAAGAAAGAGTCTCTTGAAACATGGGTAGGCTGCGAGACACCCAAAGGATTTACAAAAATTGCTTCTAAAAAGTTGCATTTATAAAAAAAGAAAATTGAAAGTGAAAAAGCCAAGAAAAAAATGTCAACTGACTGAATTTGGCAGAGTTCCTATGAGCCTGCACAGTGACATCTGCCATGGCCCTGGGGGCAAACACAGCAGGACACAGCCACGCCAGGGCCTGGTGCCAAACCATCACACAGCTGCATTTTGGGATGCCCACGTGTGGGAGCAGGGTCCTGCCAGCCACACTGGGGCTGCATCTGTGGCATCCACAGCACCTGGACACCCATAGGGATCCACCCTTGTGGGGGCAGCCCAAGAAGATTTGTGCCCCCAGCCAGGTATCCCATCCAATGGGACAAGGAGAAATGGCCTCAAGTTGTGCCAAGGGAAGTGCAAGCTAGATATAAGGAAACATTTCTTCATTAAAAGGGTTTTCAGGCATTGGCACAGGCTGCCCAGGGCAGTTGTGGAGTCCCTATACCTGGAAGTGGTCAAAAAATGAGATGCTGCACTTGGCAATGTAGCTTGGTGAAGGTTGGGCTGACCGATCTTGGAGGGCTTTTCCAGCTTTAATTATTCTCTGAGTGTTTGAATGCCTCTCCCAAGCCACTGAGTCCTGGACAGTGCCCAGTGTGGCCCTGGGCAGGGACTGGGACTGCAGGTGGGCTATCCCAGGGCTTCCTGGCAGGGTTTCCTCTCCATGTCCTTGAACTCCCAGTTTTCTTGGGACAGAGACCTCTCCAAGGGTTTGGGCAGCACTGGGTGAAGGGGTAGCCCCACCTCACAATAGATGAGAAACACAGAAACACCAGGCAGCAGCTTTGGCTCCAGGCTCAGGGATTCTGGTGTCCTGCACTGCAGGACAGATTCTGAAAAGTCAGAGAATCATTGAACCCCAGGATGGTTTGGGTTGGAAGGGACCTTAAAGTCCATCTTTTTCCAACCCCCTGACATGGGCAGAGATGTCCCCTGAGTCAGCCTGGTCGCAGCACCTCCAGCATCCATGGGCCAAGTCCTGGGGACACCCTGTCCTGGGGTGCTGGGCTCTGGCCAGAAGCTACTGGGCACCAGGAGAACTCTGCTTCCACCTCCACTTCCACATCCACCTCACAGGTCCTCTCCCTCACCCTTCATGCCCCAGCCAGCCCATGCCCCTACTCCAGCACTGGCTGGAGACATCAAAGGGCTCCTTTGCCTCCTAAAGTCCTGCACTGGTGACCAAATTGGGCTGAATGTCTTCAAACAATTACAAAATGGGTGACTTTTAGCATCATCAAACCCAATCATTTTGCATAATGAGGAGGGCTAATTGCTCTGCTATGTCTGACACTGCAGTGGGTCTCCAGTTCCCACACTGCAGGATGAGTTTGGCAACTTTGGATAAAAACTGCTACGCCCTTTGTAAATGAAGACAATACAGATTTTTTAAATAAGACAAACACTGGCAGGTACCTCTTGGAAGTGAAAAAACAACACATTAAAGTGAGGGCTACAGAGAGCAGCCACGTCAGGCAGTGTTTGTGCAACAATCTGCACAGATTTGCTCCAACTCCGTGTGAAAGAAACTCATAATGTTGCCTTTGTACTGGCATTTTTAATGGCATCTAAGAATAGCAGTGTTATAAATAATCTGTGAAAGGGAAACAAAAACACACCTTTGTTTCAGGTATTGTGAACTGTGCTTTTCTGTCAATGCTAAAATAAGTTCTTCTATTTTTTTAATTTAATGTCTGTATATAGAAGAGAATCCATTAAAAATGAAGAGTCAAGGTGCTTTTTATACACAATGTGTATGGTGCTTTTCTTCATTTGAGCTGTTTGCATGAAAATAAAATATAATTTTCTACTGGGGGAAAAAAACTCCACCAGAAAAAACTTAACCAGCTCCAGAGACCTTTGCTGAGCATTCAGAAGCATGTGGGACAGTTTTTAATGAAATATTTGGAAGGAAATCACCTCTGCACAGACTGGCAGTGCAGTGAGAACACACCTGGAATGTGTCACACACCACATCCAACTGCTGGATTGATGGGAAGCAGGAGAGGAGCGTGGCAGGGCCAAAGCCCTGGCACAGGGTGCCCAGAGAAGCTGTGGCTGCCCCTGGATCCCTGGAAGAGTCCAAGGCCAGGATGGATGGGGCTTGGAGCAACCTGAGACAGTGGCAGGTGGCCCTGGCCATGGCAGGGGGTGGCACTGGATGAGCTTTAAGGTCCCTTCCAACCCAAACCATTCTGGGATGCTTCTATGGTTCTCTGAAACCAGGACAGGGAGAACCTCAGCCCAGCTCTGCCCTCTGTGCCAGGCTTAGTGCTCCATGAACAGCACTGCCTGAGAGTGGGGCCACTTGTCCCCATCATCAGAGACATGTTGTGCCCTAACTCTGACAATGGGACAGGCAGATGTGCCTGCCTGCAAAGACTGGCCATCACCAGCAGCACTATGTTTTTTAGACAAAAATTCCCTGTATTTACAGCCTCCCTCAGAAAACAGAGGAGAGGGAAGAAAGAAAGAGGGTGAGAGACTAAGATAAAGTAAGAGGAGGAGAATGCACTCCCTGAGATCTTCTGCCTCTACACAGAGGGTCCCCAGGGAAAGGACCCCTCTTGCTTCCCAGATCTGTCTTGTTATCTACTTATCCATCCTGCCACGTATTCTGGGATAATTTCCAAGGGTCAAAATAAATGGCTGTGATTTATGCAATATAGGTCAGGACCTATTTAACAGCTTACAAAGGAGCCCCCCCTCCTCCCCATTCTCCCTCTGGCTCTTGGTGATGAGAAAATAGGTCACAGGCAGTGGGGGGGATTAATCATTTCTTCCGGCAACTGCTGGGAAAAATATTTTCAGTTCCATTTAATCATAAAGCTTTTTAATTAGTTAGTTTGCAATTTATAATGTATAGTTTATAAGCTCTTGTGCAAGGGGGCAGATTCCTGGAAGGAGAAGTCTCCTGCTCCCCATCTCCCCTGGGCTGCACAGATGAAGTTCAGTATGGCAGGGCCTGGCAGGTCCTGGGACCAACCTCCACGTGGTCCTCAGGTCTCTGAGCAGCCACTGGTGGGATGGACACCCTGGCACAGTCCAGATGAAATTCCCCTGTCTGCCTGGACAGGGAGGTTATGGAAGGAGCAGGTTCCTCAGGAATGACAGGGCCAGAGCTGCAGGACCCCTTCACACTGACTCCATAGTGCAGCATGAACCCTCCATGGGAGCATGGGACACCTTCTCCCTGTACAACATCTGGGTTCAGGATGCTGAAGGGATGCCAAACTCACCTTTGGTGTAGATGCACCCATGGACAGCATTCCAGAATATCTCGAGGACTGGACACCCACTGAGTGTTTTCCAGCCTGGGACTGGATGTTCCCTTTCATTCCCATTTCCTACTGATGCCACAGTACACAAAAAGGAAAAATAGACCCTGGCTACCCTGCTCTCCCTGCAATGGGTCCACTTGCCACCAGTTCTGTGGAGGTGACAGGAGAAGCTCCTGAATGACCAGTGGATTTTCTACACTTGGGCCACTGGAACCATCACTGGACCCCAAGGATTGATGGCCACTGTCACCCACATGACCAAATGCAGCAAGAGCAGTTTCCTACTGAACAACCACTGTGCACCCTTAAACAAAGTCTGCACCCCTCCTCTCCCCAAAAGCTGTGGGTGACCCCCATGAAGGTCCCTCAGTACCTTCTCGTAGTACTGCAGCTCATAGTCCAGGATGACTCCATTGGGCTGGTCGGGCTGGGACCAGGACAGGGTGATGCTGTCCACAGTGCGGCTCACCTGGTGCATGATGGACACGGCAGAAGGGGCTGGAAGAGAGAGAGGGGGGACAGACAGTCAGACACCTCCACAGTAGGACCCTCACCCTGGCAGGAGGGTTATTGCTCTTTGGAGCTTTGGAATTCACCTCCTGCACTGGGAGAGCTGTGCAGCAGTCAGGAGATCCTGGATTCTGCTGTTTGTAGAGAGCAGTGAGGGGAAAAAAATGGTTCTGCTGAATTGGTAGTTAGAAAACATGTAGGACAGTGCCTCAAGCAGGAAAATGGCAAAAGGAGCCCACGTTGGAGGAGGGACAGCACTGTTCCACCGCAAAGAGCCCCACCAGCCCCACAGCATGCACTCCTCCCTGCCTGCCATGGGGAAATGGGTGGTTTTTACTTTTCCATTCGCACAGAGCAGCTTCCCAAGGCCTGGGCAGGCTGGGGCTGCACGCTGCACATGCCAATCACGGGAGGCGCATCCAGCGCTGAGCAGGCAGCACAAAGCTGACCTGACACGCTGACAATGGAGAGCAGCCGGGCCGGCCCCCGCTCCTCGCAGCGAGCACAAAGGGCCCCGCCGGCCGCACACACCCGGGCCGCTCCCGCTGCCGGGACCCTCGGCCGGGAAAGCCGCCCCGGGAGCTGGGCTGGACAGGCCCACGGGCAGGGACCGGAGCGGGGAGCTGGGCTGGCAGCCCCACGGGCACGGACCGGAGCGGGGAGACCCTGGGAAAGGCCGAGCGGCCCCGGCCCGGCGGGCTGGAGAGCCAACAGCCCGGGCTGCCTCAGTCCTGAGGGGCAGGAAACTCCTCGGAGCCTGCAGCTTCTCCTGAGGGCAGCTCCCATCTCTGCTCTGTGAGCAGGGACAGCTCCCAGGGAATGGCTGGAGCTCTGCCAGGGGGTTTAGGCTGGATATCAGGGAAAGGTTCTTCCCCCAGAGCGTGCAGGCACTGCCCAGGCTCCCCAGGGAATGGGCACAGCCCCAAGGCTGCCAGAGCTCCAGGAGTGCTCAGACAACGCTCTCAGGGATGCACAGATGGGATTGGTGGGGTGTCTGTGCAGGGCCAGGAGTGGGACTCGATGATCCCTGTGGGCCCATTCCAAGTGGGGATATTCTTTGATTCCAGGTGCTGACAGCTGACACCCCTATTTCACAGCCCTGCTGCAGGGCTGACACCCACGGCTGCCTGTGCTGGCTCCTCTCCCCGCATCCCAGAGCAGTGAGAGGAGCCCTCCCCGTGCCCAGCCTGCTGCTGGCACTGCCAGCACATCCACCTCAGTGCAGGGCTACCCCAGACTTCCCCTAGTGCCAGCCCAGCCCTGGAGACAGAGCTTGAGCTGCAGTCAGCGTTAGCCCTGGCACAGCTGCCAGCACAGGCTCACCACTGCAGCAGCTGCAGGGCACAGGAGAAGCCTCAGGGCTAGGAGAGGACTGGAGAGTGGTAGCATGAAAGTTTTCCCATCACTTGCATGCCAGGCCAAATGGATGCAGAGTGGTTTGCACTCAGATGGGCTTTTCCCAAGTCCAACCCTTACAATATTTCATGGAAGAACAACTCATTTGGCAGCTCTGAGAAACAGCCTGGAGGAGCAGCACCCAGAGGAAGGCACCTCTCACCCATCTCTAGGCTGGCTCCTCTTGGCATCAGGGTCAGTGACAGGAGCTATGCCAGCTGGGGTTGCAGTGGCAGGACCGCAGTGCTTGGACAAGCATGGCCCCAGCGTGTTCCTGCACATCACAATAAATTACCACTGAGCAACTCCTCTCCAACACACCAACAAAAGCCATTTTTCTGGTCCGCCGTCTGCCTCTTCACTGCTGCTTTTCTGACTCAGAGCACCGCAGTTCCCAGGATGCTCAATGTCTGGGTGCCAAGGGGCTGGGTATGGCTAACACAAGACCTGCACCACACTGCTGCACCATTTTCCTTCACCTGCCTGGGTTCCCCCACTCCTGAAGGAAGGTGTGATGTGGATTAGCCTCAGCAGTGTTGTTGAGCTCCAGTTTTGTCCAGGAGAACAAAACTAGAAGGACAGCAGAGAACTTCATCCCTGGAAGTGCCCCAGGCCAGGCTGGATGGGGCTTGGAGCAACCTGGTCTGGTGGAAGGTGTCCCAGCCCATGGCAGAGGGTGGGACGAGATAATCTTTAAAGGCCCTTCCAACCCAAACCACGCCATGATTCCAACAGATCCTGAGGCCACTCCTTCCATCCATTTCTGCTTGAGCAAAGCCCCATTACCCAACAGTCAGAAACCCTCTGTGTCACCTCAGCCCTCCCCTCACTCCATGGCACTGCTCCCCTCCCACCTTGACATCCCTGTCCCACTGCTTCAGGCCACATCTTTCCAAACTCCTGGGAAGAGTTTCTCACGCTGGCGTGAAGATAAAACACAGGTAATGTTTCTGGAGCCTGTCAGCTCTTGCCAGAGCTCACTGCTTCCTTGTTCAAACAGATTCTGTAGGACATCTGCAATTTTCAAGACAAACATCTCTGTCTCTAGAGACCAGGCTCAGAAGGAAGATGTGCTGCAGATGCCCTGTGGCAGGGATGGCACCGGACTGAGGGAAGCACACAGCCCACAGTGTCTCTGCCAGCTGCTCTGGGAACTGATCCCACATTTACACACTGGGCTTTTCCAGGACAGGGGCCATGTACAGCCAGAGCTGTCCCACCACAACACCAGGATGTGGCAACATCCCATGATTCAGGCACAGGTTCAGTGGCCTTGCAGCTGGAGAAGCTCCTCAGCTCCAGGTTCCTCCTGGTAGGAGTGAGGTCTCTGGGATGTTCTTCCAGTTCCATGCACTGCACCCCAGCCTGGGAGTACAGGACCTCCCCAAGGCATCTCCTGCCTCTCCTGAGGGAGATGTACCAGACAACAGCAACAGCAGGACGTGTGAGACTCATGTGCTGCTGGTACCTGGTGAACCTGCTCTTGTTTGGCTCAGCAAAAAACCCAAATGAATGAGGTGGGGCTCATCAAACATGAGGCAAATGTGTTGCATGGTGGGAGGAGGAAGGGGGATGAATGACTACAGCAACCTCAGTGCCTTTCCTGCACCTGGGGCAAGGGAGGGGCTCTGGAAGAGCAGGAACCTCCCCAGTGCATGTCCTCAGTAACTGCTGCTCTTATCACAGACACCAGGGGAGTGCACAGCAATGAAATCACAGCAAGGCCTAGCTCAGAAGTGACCTCTGGATGTTTCTGGTCCCACAGGCTGGCAGAGTAATCTCAAAATCAAATAATTTTGCTCAGGACTGTGTCCAGATGAGACCTAGTGATCCCTATGGATGGGGCTCCCACAGGCTCTGAGCAGCAGCCCCCAGCTGCCTTGCTCTTAGGGGCAGAAACTTTCCCTCACATTCCACTGGGATTTTGCTGGTTGTGCCTTGTGGACGTTGCCACCATTCTCCCCCTCAATGCCCCTCAGCCTCCTCCTCTCCAGGCTGATCAGACCCAGCTCTCAGCTGCCCTCACCTCTGATGCTCTAGCCCCAGCCTCAGGGTAACCTCCTTGTCCTGCTGGACTGCTCCAGTTTGTCCATGAGTGTGATACTGGGAGCCCCAGAGGACACAGGAGCCCAGGTGTGGCCCTGAGACTGCTGAGCAGATGGAAACAATCAATCTCTCTCCTGGACTTTTTGCTAACAGAGCACAGCACTCTGCAGTGCCACAAAACATAGTCCTTTGTCACACCCTTTATGCCAGGTGAGGGCCTGAGGTGCACAGAGAGGCTCCCAGGCCTGTGAATCAGGGATGGGCTGGCACTGGATATATGAGCTTGAAACCAGTTTAGAGGAGCCAGCCAGACTCAGAGTGACTTTCCCAGGTCCAGTCAGCAGGAACAGCTTCAGCTGTATTCTGACACGATGCCCAGGCAGCTGACTGTGCCCTGTGACACACAGAGGAGATCAGATATGGAGAGTCCCCACTCTCAGAGCCTTGATCACCCCGTGATGTCACCAGGAAGGTGTGAACAGAGGTGGATTTATCCCGATGGGGCATCCAGAGGTAGGTGTGTCCCAAAAGTGCAAAAAACAAACAGATCTTCCTTCATTCCATAGCTGATGGAAACACTGCTCCTGACTGAATCCCTTAAGCCTCAATGCCATTTGATTGCACAGATTTCACAGAATATTTTGAGTTGGAAAGGATGCACAAAGATCACTAGTCCATCTCTGAAGTGAATGGTCCATATGGGGATCAAACCCACACCCTTGGCATTATCAGCACGGGGCACTGAGGCAAACCCAACTACTGCAGTCCTTGAAAGGCACTTTCTGCATCCTCTTGATCAGAGATGGCCTCAGATTCCTCACAGTGCAGCGCTGTGGCTTCCTTGAATTGCTGGAGAAATAAACCACACCAAAACCACCACTGGAGTGTAAAACAAGCTTAATGAAAATCCACTGATGTACAAAGCCAACACATCCCACACGGTGACCCCTCTGGGGCAGAGGCACGGGAAGGATGCCAGGGACACTTCGGTGGTCACCACCCCGAGCCCTGCATGGCCACACAGCACTGCTCACAGCCAGCCCCCGGCCCAGGCTGGGCATTTGGCAGTTTATCTCAATCCAGGGAGCAGAGCAGACTTCTGTGGCTGGGGCAGCTCTGCAGGATCAGCATGGGGGTGCTGACAGCTCTGCAGCACACACAGAGCACTGCCTGGGCTCAGGAGCTGGAAACACTTGGGAAGGATGGGGCTCAGGAGGTCCCACCATGCTCAGGTCTTGCCAGCAGAGCTGCATGGCCATCACCTCCCTGAAGGGATCACCCCTGAGCTTTGCCAGGGCTGGACTGGCAGAACACCATCTGTGTCCTGGGCTGATCCCACAGCGTGGGCAGCAGCTCCAGGGAGGGGATTCTGCTCCTCTGCTTGGCTCTGGAGAGACCCCCCTGCACTTCTGCCTCCAGCCCTGGGGTCCCAGCACAGAAAGGATGTGGAGGAGTTGGAGCAAGTCCAGAGGAGGCTGTGGAGATGCTCCAAGGGCTGGAGCCCCTCTGCCCTGGAGCCAGGCCGGGAGAGCTGGGGGGGTTCAGCC